GCTGCCCATGGAATGCCCAGGGTGGCCCACAACCTGCACCCGAGACACCGAGGGGAAGGGTTTTTTTTTTCCCTGTGGTAATACGGCTGTTGTTCGCTTGCAGGAGCCCTGCGCTGGAATTGCCAGTCCAACTACCAAAACTGAACACGGACCAAGACTCCTCCCTGACAAAATGCGCCAGGACAGAAAGGTCTTGCTGCTTATGGAGTGCACAGGGTCCCTGAAGCACTGGACTGTCTGTGAGAAGGTGGCAGAACCCCTGGAAAACACAAGAAACAAAGCATGTGCACACATTCACCACAGCACCTGTAAAAGACCATCTAGTTCTGTCCTGGAGTCGATGCTCACCTTGCTCACTGGTGCTCACCCGGATCACCTCCCCTCCGGTGCCGTTGGTGCGTCACTCTCGGCACAGCCAGAGCTTCTGGGGCGGGCGCCTTTGGTCTGGGAGGAATCTTCGTCCAAATCCAATTTTGGCCCTCGGCCTGTCCCCATCAACACGGCGCTCCTGCCTGCAAACGACTGCCCTTCCCGCCAGGAAAGAAAGGCCTGAGCCCCCCTCTCTCACCCGCGGTTGGTGCCCCACTCTTGGCACTACGTGCGCTCCATCTGGAAAATAAAAAACAAACAGGCACAAGATAAAAGATTCCTATGGGTAAAATTGGCATCTTTCATCCAACACCTAATACAACCTTCTTCCTAGGCTGCTTCAACTTGTCTCGCTCTGGGGTACATTGTGTCCACTTATCTGGGTGGGAAAAAAAGAAAAAAAAGTCAGGTCACCCCATGGTCACTGAGACCTTAACCATATAAAAGATCTCATTTACCCTGAGCAAATGAGAACTCTGACAGCAGCATATGAGAAGAAAAGTGACAACCCAGCTTCAAGGTCCTGCAATTCAAGTACCATCAGCTCCACAACACTCAGCTCTAACGATTGCACGCGAGTTACGGACACCTGCTCCATCCAGCAGGACTGTACAGCCATCGGCTTAACTGTCTAAGGTAACTGACATGTTGATGTGAGACTCGGAGCAATATTCCATCTACCCACTGATCCACATGGCAGGGCAGAGCAGTTCCAGGCTGACCCCAAGTGAGACATCCCGTACCTGTGACAACACAGACCCTGTGACACAATTAAGAGACAAACCTCGCTTTGACAAGATTTGATTGCAAGAATGGAGATGCTGGGGAATGCTGTGACCTACGGGACTACTGGGATAATGTGACTGGGCTCAAAGGATCCTGACAAATAAAGGCACTAACAAGATGACCGGTCAGAAGAAGGGTCCATCAAAACCCTGAAGATGGATGCACGACGTCACTGCATTTGGAAGCTAAGAATGGAATGATGTGGAAAAGGAGTCCTCCTGCTTTATGATGGATGGCTGTGGAGCACCGCTCATGATATGGCCCGGAATGAGGCCTTAAAAGAGGTCTGACCAAAAAAGTCAGAGATGGGATTCCAAAGAAGGCCTGAACCTGCAAATGAAGTGACTGACAACTTCGGTACTCGGCTACGCCGAGAAGACCTTCAAGAACCTAAGGATGGTGCCTGATGCTTCACATAAGCCCCTCGAGAGCAAGATGCAAAAACCCTAAGGACACAAAACATGGACGAGACAAAGGACGTGACACAGACTGGAACTGCTCTGCCCTGCACACGTGAATCCAATGATACAAAGCCCTTCCTTTGATGCGGCCAAATAACCTGTTATAGGATACCCATTGCACTGTACTAATTTCAAAAATCCCTCGGGGCAATGCACGTGTTTGGACCGACTCCCAACCCCTCCCTGGGTCATTGCCCTGCACTTATCTTTCTGAGAGCCGGGGATGTGAATCCATCTCTGATGCAAACGAGGGGTACCTGGGCTGGCTCAGAGGTTCCTGTCATCGTGAGATCACTCAGAGTCAACTACGAGAAAGAAAACCAGACACAATATCTGTGTAGTGCGGCACGTGGCCCCAGCCGCAATGATCCCTCTACTCACTGTCACTGAGGTGGGTCCTCGGGTCACTGGCTCTGACTGGAGTCACACGCTGTGGCTGTCATCTTCTGGGATACCTGAGTGAGCGAGAGACAAAATTAGAGGGCATTTCTAAGCTGGAGTGGATCCCCGCTCCTCCTGCTGCCTCCCCGACTCACCTCCAATGCCCGGACGCTCCCAAAGGTTACCTGGATGGCACCTGTGCTCACTAAAGCTCAGTGCTTCGTTGCTGCTCCTTTTAATACTCACAGATTGCAGACAAGGACAGCTCGAGAGGACTGAACCGTGCCAATCACCTCATTGTGAGTTGGCTTCGGCCCTGTGAGGCTGCGTACATCTCCTGCAAAAAAACCCCCAGAGGCAAATGCCAGTACTGAGATCCTGTCCAAGAGTATGCTGCTCCCATGGTAGTTTCTGTCTGACACCCCTTGACCGTGACCTCTTACAGGCAGGGTCCCCATCACATTGGACTGTACGTTAGAAGTCGGTGCGCTGCCTGTAAAACAAAAATACAAGTATGTACACAGATTCACCAAAAGTACACCACCTGCAAAACAGCATCTAGTTCTGTCCTGCAGTCACTGCTCACCTTGCTCACCGGGCTCACCTTCCCTCTGGTGCCTATTGTCTGCTGGGCTGGGGGCTCCACAACTTAAAAAAAAAAAAAGAAAAAACAAAACTAAACCACCAAACCATCCAAAGGCCCAAAAATCACGTCTTGGCTCTGACCTCACATGAAAACCCACTTCTGACTGTGCTCCCCCAGCCTCTTTTCTGTTCAACTCTGCTTTACATCCTGTCCCTCTGACATGGACAGATGAAGACCATCAAACCTAATTGGCAGGTGGCTCCAGCCCTCTGAGGCTGCACACATTCTCTGCAAAGTAAAAAACCAAAGGCAAATGTACATACTGAGATACT